AATACACAAAATAATGTTCTTTTTAGCAACGTCATATGACCCCTTTAAGCAAATGTTATGCACCACTACTAAAAAAAAAACAAAAAAAAAAAACAGGTCCACCAAAATATTACGCAGCACAACTGTTTTTAACATGGATAAGAAATTAAATCAGTGTATTAGAATGATTTCTGAAGGATCACGTGACACTGAAGACTGGAGTAATGACTGAAGAAATTTCAGCTTCCTCATCATAGGAATTTTTTTTTATTTGAAATATATTTAAATATAAATAGTTATTTTAATTTACAATAATATTCCACAATATTAATATTTTTAATCATAAATAAATGGAGCCTTGGTTAGCATAAACTTCATTTAATAAAAAAAAAAAAAAAATCATACAGACCTTTAATTAATCCTTTAATTTGAATAGTAGTGTATTGTGATCATTTCTGGAGGTCGTTAATATACCACAGGCCACTACCGCTTTAGTATGAAAAACATTCACTGTCACAAGGAAAAGCACTGAAACCACTGAAATATAATTATCAGCAATTATGTACACATTTAATCATAGTTAAATCCAAACTTTACAAATACAGTTGAGCGTGAGTGGACTTAGTCGAGAGTCTAGGATCTTTTTGAGTCCCGGTTGGGTAGAACTGGATCAACTACACAAATTCAACTAAAAAAAAAACACTACAGTACCATACAAAAGTAAATGAAAGTAGTATGTGAACCCAAGGAAATAGTGCCACACTAATATGAAGTACAGGGGAAGAGAAAGACAAGTCAGACTGGGAGTGCAAGTATCTAAACTTTGTCTTCTATCTCTTTAGTTTTGATTAATGAACGAGGAAGCAATCCAGTATCAGCAAACCATGACATAGAAAGCTCATGTTACTCGTAACTGAATCATTTCTGTGTAACCAAACAAGCAGATGTCAACACTTCAGAAGGCTATAGTGCAGATTAAAACTATGGCATTTATATAGGGTACTCACAAAAACATGCCATATGGCTGTTGTGTGAATTCAAGAGAACAGACATTTCCACAAGTCAGACTACAAAACACCATTTGTTAAAGATTACATTTGTACAACACTGCTAGATATACCGAATCCAAAAACATTATAAATAAAAAGTTATCACCAAATTAGTATTCATAATCCGTTCTGTTCTAAGTAATGTGAACAAGTATGCTCAGGTAAACATGACACACTACAATGCCAAGGTTGGCTGAATGGCTTCTTACAAGTCATTATTTAGGTGCTGGAATATTATTGGGTATGAATGACTGAACACAAGATTAATTTCTTGTGCAGCCAATTTAGCAAAATGGCAAAAAGAATATTAGTCAACATATAATAACTACATTTTGTTTGACCACTCAGACATTACATGACTTCAAATGACAATATTACTGAGATTTATGAGAATGAAAAAACAACAGTAACTGAACCTCAGCAGGACCACATTATGTGCAAATTCTCAAAAAGCGATCCTACTGTATGACCTTTCTATTCCCGTCTCGTATAAAACAAATGTAATAAATAAAATCTTTCAAAAGCTACAAAAGTTCATTGTGCTACCTGGTAAAACAAATTCTTAAAGGGATAGTCTACCCAAAAATGAAGATTCTGTCATCATGTACTCGCCCTTACATCATTTCAAACCTGTATGACTTTCTCTGGTGGAACACAAATGCCAACGATATTTTAAGACCGCTTTTGTCCATACAATGAAAGTCAATGGGGTCCAAAACAACACTAAAACACTTTTCCAAACATAATCTTTTATGTTCCACAGTAGAAAGTAAGTTTCACAGGTTTGCAACGACATGAGGCTGAAAAAAAAAAAAAGATGGCAGAATTTTCTTTTCGGGAAAATTATCCTTTAAAAGGCTATTTGGCAGGTGAATGACTTCTAACTTACGAATAAATGACACTAAACAAAGAATTTCTACCCCTGTCCTTTCTCTGATTATGATTTAAATGATCATCGAAGCACCCGTACATCTGAGTCTCACAGTTTTCTGGACTTATCTAAGGCTAACACTTATCCTCTGGTTTCTTCTGTTCTTTTAGCTTGGGTCCAATCTCATCGGTCTTCCTCGCTGAAGTTTGGGAGCTTCCGTCCGCCTGTGTTGCGCTGATCCACGCCGCTCTGAAACGTGGATGAGATGGCACTGGTGTAGATGTTGTGGCCTCCTTGTCATCAGAGTCATCAAAGCTGACCTCCTGAACAGCTTCCTGCTTTTTAAATGAATCTCGCTTCCTCATCACTGCACCGCCGGAGTCAGTCACTCGTTGGCCAGCCAGGTACAACCCTTGTCTAGCATGGTCACCGACACACACAAAACCTGAGGCAATGTCACTAGTTTGTGACTCGAGTCCCTCAGCTTCACTCTGGGGAACTTCCACAGTGTGTCTTCGAGTGGAGAAAGCCTTTTTGTCTCCATGTTGGGCACCGGAGGGCCTCTCAGATGACTGAACCCTGTTCAGCAGTGGCGAACGGGGTGATTCTGCACTGCGGGGACACACCGTCTGTCTCACGATGGTCGGCGGGGACATCATCTTATTATGAAACGAGTGGAGGCTTTTAGGAACTCCGGCGAGGGAAGATGGAGAATACTGTGGAGACAGAGGCTGTGAGGAGGGATTGCAGGCGAGGGGAGAGGGGGGAATACTGTTGGTGGACTTGCAGCGGCCTGCTTTGCTATAGCGGAGGCCAATCTTGGATCCCAAAACATGAAGAGAACTTGGTCGACTTTGAGGAATGGGTGAATTCGGAGAGCTTGAGCAGGGTGAGGAACTCTGTGGAGAGTTTGAATCTGTGGAGAGAGTACAAGCAATGCTAATCACTTATAAACTACTCAAAAACATCAATGAGGAAGTCTTTAATTTTTTTATTTATTCATCTGTAGATGAATGCAAAAACAATTTACAGTCTGGTGCTTTAATGCTCCTCCAAAGAGCTTTCAAACTGTTGACATATCGTGTATATTTTATAGATATACTACTGTTCAAAAGTTTGGGGTTTTAAGATTAAAAAAAAATAAAATTTAATACATTAAATGCTCACCAAGGCTACATTTATTTCATTAAAAATACAGTAAAACAGTAATATTTTGAAATGTTATTACAGTTTAAAATAACTTTTATCTTAATATAATTTAAAATGTCATTTATTCCTGTGATTTATTCCTTCAGTGTCACATGATCCTTCAGAAAACACTCTAATATGCTGATTTTGTGCTTTTAAGAAACAATTCTTACCATTATCAATGTTAAAAACAGTTGTGCTGCTTATTAATATTTTTGTGGAAACCGTGATACTTCAAGATTCTTTGATGAACAGCATTTATTTGAAACCAAAATCTTCTGTAACATTCTAAATGCCTTTACGGTCACTTTTTGATCAATTTCAAGTGTCCCTGCTGAATAAAAGCATTAATTTCTTTCAAAACAACCCCAAACCGTTTGAACGGTAGTGTAAATCAAATGACACACAACAGTGTCCGTGATGAAGAAAAACTATTTAAAACATAGTTTAAAACACATGTGCCAAGTTCTGTACTGTTTGTATTAATGTTGGTTTCATATGGTTTGAAAAACTTTCAAGAAAAGTGACATTTCAAGCAGTGTAACCATCAAGTAAATAATAAGCACATTCTGCCTTACCTTAGACCTTGAACAGTACTTTGAAAAGTTGTAAAATATATTTTAAGGTAAAAAGCAAATATCAAGAATTATTTGTAATTAATTCATAAATAATTATTTTATAACCTGAACTAACCTTGCCTTGTTATAATACAGGTCAAATTATCGGATTTAAAGAGACTTATTGATGTTGACACACAGTCATGATGAGGGTCTGCAGGGGTCCTCATATGATATCACTCAGTGAAAAAGGGGTTTCCAAATATTAATGAGCCATGGAACAGTTTTGTTAAGAAATAAAAAGACAAAGATCTTGCCAAACATACTTTTCAAGAATTATTTTCTTTTCAAGAACTGGCTTCCTTCAACAAGGCGTTATTATTTGAGGCATCTCTAATTACAGATGGAAGCATATAAGACTGTATCTGACAGTGAGAGAGAGTCTGAGTCATACCACATGACAGGTCTGGAGCTGGGCTTCTGCATGGGGTGTTGGGCCCAGGAGATAGGCTCGGCGTTGGAGAGTCCGACAGGCTGTCGTTAGGTGAGTGCTGAAAACCCGCCGAGAAACTGCGACTGTTCTGAATCCCTGGACTGTGTTTGGGCAGCTTCTTCAAAAGGTTTCGCCGTTTGCTAGAAAATTTGGGCTTAAATTACATTTTGGGATTCAACGGGTTTTAACTTGTTTAAAATGTTTCAGAAGACACTACATCTTTCCAACCTGTCTTGACCCTCTTTCCTTTTGCTCTTTTTGCTGCGTCGTGCCATCTTCCCCTTCGAGCTGGTCTTTCTCGCAGGCCCGATTTTAATGGACGTATTCTCAAGAGGAGTCGTCTGCAGAGTCACTTTACTGCCACTCTACAAATGGCAAAATCAAGAAATCAAGCATCTATTCCCAGCCCTTTTTTAAAAAGCGCACGGGCCGCCTTTAACTCCATATTTTTTTGAGAATCTCACCTTCAGCAGAAGCTCCACCACATCCGTGTGCACCAGACCCTGGATACACTCTCCATTCACATGAGTGATGAGGTCACCAGCCCTCAGTCCGGCCTCGTGAGCAGGACTGCCGTCTTCAACGCTCTAGACAAACGGCAGCACATAAAAGCGCATTTCAATGTGTCAAACCAATAAAATGTTTGTACACTGGGTTCTCAGTATGATTAACCATAGTGATGAACCAAAATAAATTTTTTACTGAAACTAAAATTAAAGGTTTCATTAGGCCAAAAATGTTTATGGTTTCCTTGGGTAAAATCTGTTTATATTTTAGACATCTTTCTGCAGTTGAAACACTGATTGAGCGATTACAAGAGACATTTCACTAACCTTCTGATGTTCATTTTTGTTTATTTCATGCTATAACTAGCCAGAAAAAAGACGATATGATTGGTTCATGTGCTGCTTGAACGGAGGCAATCTTGCATGCCACATTAAAGAGCATCAAATCCAAATTGATTGTTTGAATTTCATAATAAAATTAACAGAATTTAAAAGCTGAGACTTTGTTTCATATCAACAGTAGCAATTGGCAACTTAGTGCTACAGCCCACACAGATGACATGTTTACCTGTTATAGCTTATCCATGTTGTATAAATAGATAATGACATATCAAAACCGAAAATTTATTTTTGGTGCATCGCTAGTTAACCATGCAATAAAGTGGAATGATTCACACTGCATCCATAATACCCACCCAGACCATGTGGTGCACCGTGTAGACATCAGTGTCACCCATGTAGACCCGAATGGCACGGAGCGTAAAGCCATACTTCCTCCCAGAGCTGTGGATGACCACAGGAGGACGAAGACTGCTTACGCTGAGAGAGAGGTCTCGGTTTGGGGAAGAGTCCCGAGATGAAGGGTTGGATGAGAGGGAGTGTGAAGACATGGGGCTCGTCTGGAGCCCACCGGGGATGTCATCTATGGTGATAATACATGATCATATATAAGAGAAATGCCTATAATAGCTGCAATATCCACATATTGGTATTAAATATCTATCACAAAGTTTATGTCAAGTCATGTTTCGCTTTAATCTTCATCAATAAGCTCTCTCTTCCTCTCAACTGTTCATTGTTCTCTTGAAACCAACTGCTTCACTTGTTTATTGTTGTAGTCACATGAATTTCAGTTGCCTTCAGTGTGATGGCATCACATGATGGTACATCGTCTACATGAACACATCTGAGCTCACTGTACCTGCTGTGACGATGAGGGAAAGGCCAGACACGGATGCAGACTTGGGGACGTTGCATGTAAATGATGAGCGTGGCTTCTCTGGAGTCTCCTGCTGAAGCCCGAGGCGGCGCGAACCCTTGTGGTCCCTGCGATTAGTAGGTCTTGTTCCAGTGGAGTTGCTGCGCAGACGAATTCGCCGGAGATTTGAGACAAGACCTTCTAAAAAAGAAACAAAAATATAAGAAAACTCCATTTGAGAATGTGCACAAGTCGCCCTTAAATTTCACCTAATATTCGAATAAAATATGCATAAAAATATGTTACCCTCATCCTCAGGAAAAGCAAAGCGTGGCATGGCCTCAAGGCTCTGAGTGCTGTTCAATATTAAAGGACTAGTGCCCCTCTCAGGCTGAGATGAACTGGATGATGCTCTCGGCCTCGGACTGCATGAAAAGAGATATAACAAAATTTGATTTTAGGCAACATTTTGAAAATGACAAACATTAAAAAAAAAAAAAAAACTAGAATCATACAAAATCATACAACAATTATAAATGATTTGAACACACCCTTTGGACACATTTCTATTCATTATAAATAAAGAAATTATATATATATATATATACACACATTAGGGATGGAACGATTACCGGTTTAATGATAAATCACGATAAAATGCCCTGTATAGTATTATCGTTTAAAATTTAATTATCATCAAAACCGTATTTGATTATCACGGTGCATATATGTCGCACTGTACAGCCCTGCACACACTGTGGTTTTTCTATATTTAAATTTAAATTTATTTTTATTTTACTTTTAGTTTTCAGTTAGTAAATTTCAACATTTAAAATAATAATTTCATCAATAGAATTTCATCATTTAAATTTATCAAATATTTATATTTTACTTCAGCTTTATTTCAATTAACAAAATTGTTTTTTTTTTAATGTTTTAGTTAACAATAGCAGCACTGATCGTCACAAGAGCCAATACATTTAAAAACTGTAATTATTTGATCTTATAATTCCAATGCGATTAACGAACCTGAAGTAGAGTGCATTGTATTGTTAGTATTACATCATTCCTTGCAAGCTCATCCAGGAATATACTGCAGAAATTTTATGTAGTGTGTAGTTAGTATGCTCTTCTGTACATAGCCTTGTGCTTACCTGCCCCTGTGGGAATCCTGCTTCCTGTCGCTACATGGAAGCTGTCTGGGGGTTTCTACTGGAGAAAGCATTGAATGACCATCCCACCGGTCCTCCTTCTCCTCGCTGCAGCTCCGCTCAGAGGAGGACAGGCTCAAGTTGTCAGCTTTATTTCAATTAACAAAATTTTTTTTTTTTTTATGTTTTAGTTAACAATAGCAGCACTGATCGTCACAAGAGCCAATACATTTAAAAACTGTAATTATTTGATCTTATAATTCCAATGCGATTAACGAACCTGAAGTAGAGTGCATTGTATTGTTAGTATTACATCATTCCTTGCAAGCTCATCCAGGAATATACTGCAGAAATTTTATGTAGTGTGTAGTTAGTATGCTCTTCTGTACATAGCCTTGTGCTTACCTGCCCCTGTGGGAATCCTGCTTCCTGTCGCTACATGGAAGCTGTCTGGGGGTTTCTACTGGAGAAAGCATTGAATGACCATCCCACCGGTCCTCCTTCTCCTCGCTGCAGCTCCGCTCAGAGGAGGACAGGCTCAAGTTGGAGGGAGAAGCCAGCTGCTCGGAGCTACTGTACACCTGATTCACATGACAAAAACAAGTCATGACCTGCTCCTTACTGTGTAAAATGCCTCAGTCTGTCTGAGTGACAGGCATCTCTATAAGATAACATTGTGCACATTCTTCTATTTCACCTTGCTGAAGCGATGCGAGCAGGAAGAGAACTTGATCTCCTGATAAGATTCATCATCGTTTGTCTCATCGTCCTCCTCAGAGTGCTGGTAACGGTCAGAACGTGCTGGACAGCAGATGAACAGAAGGTTCAGTTGCATCTACATTATATTTATGAATCAAAAAAAGTCATAAAAGAGCAAGGGAGCCACCTACTGTCAAAGTAGCTTGTGTCTTCTTCAGTTTCAAGCTGTGGAATGAACTCTGCTTTCTGCCTTAACAGTCCACTCCAGTCCAGACCATGGAAGAAGATGTGATGTTTGACCTCTGCTGTCCCTCCTGTAGGTCATACCACACATGATTCAATGCTGGTTACATTATGGTGACTTTATCAAGTTCCTAAATAGCAGTGTTGTTGTTGTTGTTAATTAAGAACTGTTATGAAACAAAACTGTTATAAGTACAAAAATTACTAAAACTGAAAAAAAAAAATTTTATATATATATATATATATATATAAAATGACTAAAACATAAACTGATAGTAAAATAAAATGATATTTATTATATTTATGATAATGATAATTATTATATATTTATTTTTGTTTCCAAATAAATAAATATATATATATATATATATATAAAATTACTAAAACCTAAACTGATAGTAAAATGAAAACCATAAAAAAATAAAAGCAAATTCAAAATATTAATAATTACTGTAATAGCATATACGTAATACTAAAATAAAACTAAACGGGCAAAACACCCACCAGCTCCCAAGCGCTCTTTGGGACTTTGTCTCAGCAGTTTTGTGATGAGGTCTTGAGACTCAAGAGGTAATGCATCATCACCCTCTGGCCACTCAATTTCATCTACGGAGTTAGAAGGATGCGGACACATGCACACAACATTAATAGGATAAAGTAGAATTTTACATTGTTGGTAGAGCACTGAAAGCAGGCCATGTCAAAAGAGCCCTCTCCAAAGTCTATGATATTCTGATGCTTAGATACAGCTCAGGTCCCTTCTGCAATGTAAGGCAATGGGAACCTTTTCCACTCATTTTATCATCCAGTAGGCAGAAATCCTTTCAATCATGACTGAATTCTCAGGGTTAGGGGCTACAACCCCTTCATCCTTACCACTGACCACCTGGCCAAAGAGCTCTTCTGGTGTGTCTCCAAAGAAAGGCACACAGCCCACCAGGAACTCATACAGGATAATGCCCATGGCCCACCAATCCACAGGTTTCCCGTAACTTTGCCTCAGGATCACCTCTGGTGCAATGTACTCTGGAGTGCCACAGACCTAGAAAACAACAGAGGAAAAGTTCACCCAAAATGGAAAATGTTCCCTCATGTTCCTCCACCTCTGTATTTTCTTTCTTCAGTGAAACACAAAAGATGTCAGAATGCCAGAGCATCCCTTTACCATACAAAAAAAGTGAATGGTAATTTTTACTGGCACCATATCAGTAAAATAATAAAAAAAGAACCATATTAGTTTGAACTTTTCTGAAGCCATAGGATCGCGCGTGTGGAAAAACAACTAATTTAACTCATTATTTGTTCAATTAGGGATGTAACGATTACCGGTTTGACGATAAATCATGATAAAATTCCCCACGGTTAGTATTACCATTTCATCTTTTAATTATCATTAAAACCATATTAGATTACCGCGATTTGAACAACTCGCGATAAATAAATACTGTCCAGCATAAAGCGCAGTTTTAAGTAACAGTCTCACATGCGCACAGCACGCACAGTAGTTTCGTTTTGAGTGAAAACAGGGCGGAAAAGCTGGGAGGTTTTAAAAGAGTGCTAAGGGAATTATACAAATGAATATATGAATGAATTAATTATATGAATGTACCTCTGAAGGTTCTGACTGTCTTCAGAAACGATTCGATGGCATTTTGTTCACATCTTCGCTCCATGTAATACCTAAAGGAAGTGTTCTTAATCGCAATACTGATTTTGTCCACGGAGGTTACGGGAAAAAGCTGCAATTCAGCTTTTCCATAAGCGCCACCTAGTGTCAGCGAGTGGATTTACAGAGACTTATATTTACATTCAGCCTGTGTGCAGTTTCTGTCTGGCCAAAAACGGACCGAATTTGCATGCCCTGCTGTAAATTTTGACCGGTTGATGAAAAACAATTAGATTAGAGATTATACAAATCATTGAGATTAGAGATGGCGCCGACGCTGATGGCTGCCTCCGTGGCGTGCTCCGCAGTTGTTTTTATGTTTCTGTTAGTATGTCCCTCATTTATTAATCAATTATCATTTTGATTTATATCTTTTCTTTATTTAAAGGCTTTACCTTTTTATTAAACTTTTTCAAAGCTTTATTTGAACATTTACATTAGATATTTCAACATGCTATTAAACTGTTGTCAGTCAAGTTGTCATTTAAAATCCGAACATCATTGGTAATGTTATTGTTTTAGTGATTATGCAAACAAAAAGACATTTTATTTGTTTGTTGATTTTTAAATATAAAACTTGAAGGTTTTCACCAGCACATTTTAACAATACCGTGATAATACTGATAACCGTGATAATGTTGGTCACTATAACCGTGATAAGAAATGTTCATACCGTTACAGGACCCATATTCTTCAGCAAATTTGCACAGTCTCCACCTGCAAAGACAATTTCATATTAAAACATTACAGCTGCAGACTCACGGCAGTACACATGAGAAATGACGCATGTGTGTGTCATAAGATTAGATCAAGAAACATATTTGTAACAACACATCACTCCTCTGACTCACCCTCCACATACTCCATGACCATGCAAAGGTGCCGTCGTGTCTCAAAGGAGCAGAACATGCTGACCACAAAAGGGTTCTCTGCAAACGTCAAGATGTCCCGTTCCACAAAAACCTGCTGGATCTGGTTCCTCAGGATCAAGTTCTGCCGGTTGATCTTCTTCATGGCAAACCGCTGCCGTGTCCCGCGATGCCTTACTAGGTACACAGCCCTGCGAGTCAACGCTCAAATCAGGATCAAAGCCGATTGATATTCTCAAGGCTGGATTCCACCACATTTTGGATTCCACCAATCTCAACATTTTTAAAATCAGAGACTTGTTGACTTTGTAAATGGTTAGAGAGAGAATCTGGGCATCATATACTAAATGACACACAATCAGACTTTAAAGTCATTACAAACACAACAAACAGAAACATGCGCCAGGAGACTAGGGCTGCACGATATTGGAAAAAACTCACATTGCGATATTTTTTTTTTCTGCGATATATATTGCGATATGGAAAAAAAATCAGATGACTTCAATAGCTCTATTTGAAAGAAGAAGAAAAATCAATGACTGGGGTGATTTGTAGGCGAGTAAATCAGCATAGGAAATAAACAAATTACAAGCATCGGACGCTTTGTCGCGGCCGTTCACATGTTGCGCCTAAAGACGTGTGGAAAACTCCAGCCGCGCCGCTTTCTCCTTCTTTCCAAAGCGCTCGGGAGCTTGCGCTTTCGTGGCGTCTGCCGTTGCTAAGCGACCAAGACCTGCGCTCTCCACGACAACACGGAAGTTTCAACAAAGGATAAATGGATTTCCAGCACTGAAAATCGCTTGCAGTAGCTCTTCTACTAAATTTATTTAAAATGAGTATCTCTGTACAGCTTTTGCGTCCGGTGTAGATACCATGTCTGTGTGTGAGCAAAGATAACAATCAGTATAAATATAACGATCAGTATACTAAACATCGCACATCCTGCGATGTGACTATCGCGGATGCGCACATCGCGATATCGATGCTGAAACGATATATCTTGTGGTGTTCGGCCAATCATAATGCACTGGGTCAGCTGGCCAATCAGAGCGGACTGCGCTTGTCAAAGGAGGGGGCTTTGTAGAAAACGAAGCGTTTGAGAGAGGCGGGGCATAGAGGACCTACAATAATGTACAGTATTTGAAAAATAATGTGTTTTTTGAACATTAAAGCATGTCAACATATTCTGTTACACCAAATACACAAAATAATGATCTTTAAAAAAGCATCATATGACCCCTTTAAAACGAAAACACTGTAACATGTGCCTGTATAGATACAACATGTTTTCGTTAAGCGAAGATACCGCAGTGCTTCAGTACAGCAGTTTGCTGAATGTCATTTTCGGTGGGAATATGACAAGAACAGCGCTTACTAAAAGAATAACTCAAGACTTCAGGGGTCTTATGCCTGGAGCCATGAGCCTCTCAGACAGTAATCATTCAGTAATAATGCTTTTATAAAGAAGACGGGCTGTGGCAGTATAAGTGATTCAACTGAGAGTTGGAAAGAGAGCATTAAACCACCCATCATGAACTACAGCACGGTCATGTTGTTGCAAACTAGTGATGTCAAATGTACCATGTCGAAACTAGCATAAAAAGGAAGCTGCTCATGCTCTGTGAAGAGAGCTTGTACCCAGCAGTGATGCGACTGCACATGTAAGTGGTCAAATGCACTTCCTGGTCAAAAGGTGAGTCTTGGCAAGATATTCATGTAAGCACAGTCAGTTTGGCCTAAGTGCACTGTAAACAGGCAGGGCAACCTGAATATTTTATGTTAAAATCAAAGATCTGTGCATTAAGCCTCACAGTTGAAATGCAGCCTAAGGCTGCCCACACACTTGAAGATTTTAAGCCTGAAGTGATCGGGAAGGTGTGGCCCAATTCAAGGCTTGTCGCAAACGACTTGTTGCCCAAAAAATCCTCAAGTGTGTGGTGTCATTACAATTTTACTGCTCATAAATCATAAATATCAAACATGATTGATATTTTTGACTCTTAATCGGGCTGCCTCTGACGTGATACCTACAAGAGCGAGCAAGCTTCACCAACCGGATGTTGCATGCTTCTATAGCTTATATAACTTGGCAGCCACAATCATGCTACGAGAGAGGAGTATTGAGAAAGAAGATCACTCATATTCTTTTTTTACTCCTTTGTTTTTTCTTCCCATAAAACAAAACTCATGCCAGGAGAACCAGCTGACAATGTCAATCATCCTCCATTTGTTTTTCACATTTGATCTCGCAAGTCTCCATGAGATTTTGTCTCACTGTGAAAATTATATTAGAATCGGCAGGTGTGTGCTCTCGCGGTCTGGCCGAATCGTGTAGTGTGTGTGTGTTCGGAGGATTATAATGTTAAACAACGGTTGAAACTGTCCTTAGGTCTGTGATCTCTACCAGTTTTAAAATCGGTTAAGATTTGAAAATCAAGTAGTGTGTCCCAAGCCTAACACACAAGCCATGCTGTATTATGTAGCTAATATTGATCAAATAATAACATTGACCAAAGAAGACAAAACTTTTCATTGCTTTTGGCTGGATACCTTCAGAGGCTGTAATAAACTCTCTACAATCATTCTTTCGCACAATTAACCCAAGTCAAACTCCAACAGCATCAAATTTGTATGATTTTAAATGTATCATAATTTTAAAGACCATCAATATTTTTGACTTGTTCTTAAATCATTTATTTTTAATTACATTGAGACACAGACTACCGTTCAAATGTCTGGGGTCAGTATGAAGTTTTTGAAAAAAGTCTCTTATGCTCACCAAGGTTCCATTTAATTGATCAAAAATACAGAAAAAAAAACAGTAATATTGTGAAATATTATCACAATTTAAAGAAATGCATTTAATTTTAAATATATTTTAAAATATTTAATTTAACATTTAATTTATTCATGTGATGGCAAAGCTGAATTTACAGTTTCACATAGGGATGCACCGAAATGAAAATTCTTGGCCGAAGCTGAAACCGAACAAAATGAAACACTGGGCAGAAGGCCGAATATGTTTTTTCGAGTTTTTTATTTACCCCATGTATTTTGCCAGTTTTTTTCACCATTGCATAGATTAAATAGCCAAAATGTGCTTTTTACTGTTTTGTCTTGCTTTTCAAAGAAAAAATCAATTATCAATAAGTTAGTAAAATAATACTTTTTTGGCCATCAGACCCCCTACTAGAATCAGGCATGTATTTTTTACTGTACAAATAAAAGCAGCCTTGCTGAGCAGAAGAGACTTTTTTTTTAAAACATTAGAAAATATTACAGATCCCAATTTGAACACTATGTGTGAATGTTAAACTAAATGTATTAACAGAGCTTTTGTAATTATTATCATCATTATTATTGTCTTACTTGTCTTACAGAACAACAGTAAAATTACAATACAAACATTTATGAATGTTGATGTAGTTCTTGCTTTTTCTCAACTTTCATTTTGGCGGAAACGTGCAGGAAGACCTGCTTCTTTTCTCAGCAGATTTATAAATGAGTCTCATTACGAATACGTCGCACGTATCGCATTGTCACATGCCTTGTAAAAATTCATAAAAATGTGACTGAGCAACTGACGAGTAACACTGTTTCAGTGCAGATTTTCCTTGCGCTTTGGACTTTGAACCCTGGTTAACAAGCAGATCCAACGCAAGTTTGTGCAGCGCAGTCAGAATACATGCAATTGGTGCGTGCATTAAAAAACAATGTTCTACAGTTTATTTACTAATTGTTTAAGGCCATTTCGCGATTTCAATCATCATACAGTAAGAAGCAACAATCGCCCCTTCCTCTTCTCATCGAAGACATGCGATGCAGAACTAAAAAGTCTCTCGCTGTCGGTGCTTGTAATGATTTTTGCGTCTTTCTCCGACAGTTTTAAATGCTTCCACACTGCTGCCATGTTTGTTGCATTATAAAGAGTGCGCGCCTCTCGCTCTGCGCTGGTTGCTATTTGATCGCGTCACATCATTGTTCGGTACAATTTATTCGGTCTTTTCGCTTATTCGGTTGCCGGAGCCTTTTTTGCTATTTTCAGCCGAATAATTTAGGTTGCCGAACATTCGGTGCATCCCTAGTTTCACATGATCCTTCAGAAATCATTCTAATATGCTGATTTGGTGCTCAAGAAAAATTTCTTATAAATGTTGAAAACAGTTGCTTTATATTTTTTGTAAAAACTTTGTTTTTTAGGATTCTTGAATAGAAAGTTCAAATGAACTGCAATTATTTGAAATATAACTTTTTAGTAACATTATAAGAGTCTTTACTGTCACTTTGGACCAATTTAATGTGCCCTTGCTGAACAGAAGTATTCATTTCTTACCAAAAGCAAAGATCTGAACGGCGGGGTACTGCATTGTTTTAATATATTTTCATTAATACTTTTTTTTTTTATTTAAACTTAACTAGTACCGAGTAAGGAAATTCTGGTCTTTTGTGACATGAATTATTTTGCAAGCTCTGGATCCAAGTAAACCAATCATTTATAATCAGATGCAAATGTCCACATGACAATACAAAATCTGTCATTTTTCACTTCAATACAGGTATGGAATATGTTTCTACCTCATGTAGGAAATTTTCTAATTTTTCCTGAAGTTCCACAAAGTAGCAAGATGTGATGAGCCCCTTTCTGGACTTCTCCAGACAGTCTCGGACGAGCTCGACCAGCTGGTGTTGAATGAAGCCCAGCACTCCATCAGCAAGAGGAGGAGCGCTGTCTGGAGAGTAGTCTGCAATCACTGCCAGCAAACGCCCCTCCATCTGAGCTGTAGCCTGCAAGGGTGATAAAACGCTGTGAGACTGCGTAGGTGACAATTGTCGTTTGTTTTGTTTGGACCAACCAGGCCATCAATTTTCCCACAGCCACAATTTAAACAAAGTAAACAACATGTGATGACATGACGTGGCATCCACATCCATGATGGAAAACAATTTAAATGTCGGAGCTCAATTACCTTTGGAAACCGTTCTTTGTAGACGTGATTCATCATCACAATCTCGTTATCAAAAGAGCCACATGTCCGCTTAGGGCTACAAAACAAAACAATACTTCAGTTACATTAAATTGATCACATCTACTTTTCTTATTTTATACAAACAAATTTACTTCAGAATGGAAAGTCTGTCATCATTTACTCACCCTCATTTCATTACAAACCCTGTCCATGACTGACTGACTTCTGACAAACACAAAAGAACTGTGAAGGCCTTGGTTGCGTTTTTTCAGTGCAATTACACTGAATGGGAACTGAAGCTTTTTGGCTTAAAAAAGGACACAAAAGCACCATGAAAAAATTTGAATGGCTCTCAGTATGACTTGCGCACCAGTGTTTTTATATTTCTTTTTAATAAAACTTTAAAAAAAATTGGTTTGAGTGATTGAAATAAATCTGAAATAAAATATAAATATTACATATAAATAAATATACACTTAAAAATATAAATGCTGTCCTGGCAACTTTTCTTATTGGAAATAAAAATAAAGCTGAATATAAATATTTAAAAGCACTAATAAAACATTTTTAATGATAGATAAATAAATAAATAAAAAGCAAAAAAAAATCTAAATATTAATAAATACTATAATAGCATATAAATAATACTAAAATAACAATATTGTGCAGTATATTTGAAGTCTCTGGAGACCTTATGATAACTTTGTGTGAGGAAAAATACCAAAATTTGTAACACTTTTGCCTCCTTTTTGAGGCAAAATCTTCCAAAGTCTTCCAAAATCCCCCACCCCCCTTTGTGTTCCTCAGAAGAAATAAAGTGATACAGGTTTGGAAAGGCATAAAGATGAATAAATGAAAGATGAATATTTACTAAAGTAAACTCACTAAAGTAGTATAATTTTATTGGGTCATATTTTTGCATTTCTTACCAGTTAAGAGAATTTTGCCAGAGAAATTAATCATTGTTTAGAACATAAAATCTGTGTAGATTTTCCATGCCAAATGTGTCAAGCAGAGTGGATTGTTAAGCATTAGCTAATTAAAATACGGTGTTTGCAAAATTTTTCCCATCACTGTATAAGAGCAAGTAAGTGAGTAACACCCTGGCACGTACAAGCCAAACTAATCTTTCATTCTTATTCACTTGGTATCAAGAAATTCAAAAGTTACAATTGAAATTTCACATTTTCTATGCCAGCAAACATTACATTTCAGCAGCAAACTGAATTGCAATCTCTCTATGAAAATGCTGCATTTCACATATTAGCTGAATTTTTCTAAAGCTTGTTTTTTTCTCTACAACAAACAGAGACCTAAGACTCCGTGAGCGAGGACGGAAAGGCGAGGGCTGTCCATCCTCATCTGCCACACTCTCTGAGCTCCTGAAATGCTTGAAGAGGCGATGGAGGTCATCTGGGGTGGGCTGGGAGGGCAGCTGGTGCAGGAGCTCCTGTGAGGAGGAGGAAGACTAGTGCAGAAGAAGGAGCAGGAGAGACAGAAACAGCCAGATTCACACAACAAATCACATTTACGTGTGTCTATTGTGTCACCCTAATATTATGGATGTGTACAAATTTAACCACAGTTGTTTAGCAATAGTCTGCATAGCAAGGCGGGGCGCGTGTGCTCAGATTGCAAGAAACACAAGTGGTGAGCATCTGACAGTCTAAAGCTGCTTATTAGTGTGTGCAATTATGCAAGACAACTACAGGATGGGACACTTTCCATTCTCGTTTGCAGTAGTCTGTGGTACAGATGGTAATTTAAGACTGAAAATCTCGGGAAAGGAGAATGAGCAGAAGAGCACATGACAGGACCAGTGCTGGGAGGAGGAAACCAGAGAAGCTTCACAGCTTCCCTCTGAATAAAGTCTCCACTGACACTAGCTCAATAGGACATTGTTAAACAAGGCTGACCTCATCGCATGAGCAATGAATGGCCATATATCATTTCAAAACAGAGAAAGGGGCTTTTTTTTTGTAACGATTTCCTTGAAAATAAATAAATGAAATTAATCAATTTCCACTAGTGAGAATTACCCACAATGGTCAACCCTGTAGTTAAATAACAAATGACATGACCAATGGAATTCTATGAATTCCATGGCTATTTTCAAGGCAAGAACAGGGTTTAATCAGTTCAGATTATGTAAATAAAATTACTAAATATAATTAAAAGGGTATAAAGGTTACCAATTACTATTATGATTTTATTATAATTTTATAGAAAGCAATATGTAGCCAATTAAATACTTTAGAGCAGAACTGATCATCAAAAAAATTTATATTCATTATCAAAATTCCCCATCCTTTTCCATGATTTTTAAAATGTTATTTATTTTCATGACTTTTTTTTTGGAATGGAAATCACCATTTCTCCACAATTCATATTGCAATATTACTGTAGACCCTGAAGACTTCAACACTGAAAAGTGCATCAATATTAATAAAGAAATTTAGCATGCTGTATACTTTTTCAACTAGCTGCACTAGTAAGTGCTCTTAATGTGCACTCCAAAAGCAAAATCAAACAATCTACAAATAACACATTTAATATATGATGATTTAAACACATGTGATCTGTGCATTGTTTAATTATAAAGAAAAACACTGCAGATGAACTGGACTGATGGCTCAAGAAAAGGAAAGCAAAGAGGGTCTTTTCAGAATAACTGAGACGGGCCCACTCACTGAAACAGCAGAACTGGGTGGATTGGTTCCATATCCAGAGGAGACAGATGCTACAGACCACCTTCGCGTGTCTGGTCTAAAATAGGGCAGAGATATAAGAAGACATGACGGTGAAGACATGATCTCCATTCAGATAGTTATCCAAACTATCAAAATGCAGGTTATTTTAATAACTAGTCCCATGAATGAAAGACTGAAAACCTACAATCAAAAGTTTGGGGTAACAAGATTTTTTTTTTCTTTTAGATATTTTTGAAAAAAGTATCTTATGCTCACCAAGGCTGCATTTATTTGATTAAAAAAAAAACAGTAAAGACTGAAATATGGGGAAATAATACTAACATTTAAAGTAGGGCTGCACGATAAATCGCATGCGATATTTAATGCGCATCTTGTCAGTAAAGCCGCTTCTGTAATCAGCGGTAAATCTCCATCACGTGCGGGCTTTCACATGGAGCAGCATTTACTACACAGAGCCGTTGTTCACTGACAAGCTGCGCAAAAAAACAGCCCTAATTTAAAGTAACTGCTCTCTATTCTAATATATTTTAAAATGTCATTTTTTTTCCTGTGATGCCAAAGCTGAATTTTCAGCATCGTTACTCCAGTCTTCAGTGTCACATGATTCTTCAGAAATCATTCTAATATGCTGATCTGCTGCTCAAGAAACTTTTCTTATTATCATCAATGTTATCAGTTGTGCTGCTTAATATTTTTGTGGAAACTGATACATTTTTGAGGATTCTTTGATGAAGAGAAAGTTCATAAGAACAGCATTTATTTGAAATGGAAATCTATTATTACATTATAAATGTCTTTATTGCAAATAAAAGTATTAATTTCTTTAAAAAAAAAAAATCTGACCCCAACTTTTGCATGATAGTCTATATACCAGATAGATTTACATGATTTACAAGTTTGTCTGCAACATTTAAAATGCATTTTAAATAGGCTAATAGCTAGACTAATAGAAAATTTTAATAAAATATCAAAACTTTAACACACTTCACTTCTTTCAGGATCTTAAATGACCTTTAACCAGTCATATCATTTATCCACAAATAGATGCATGCTTTTAGGGCACATTAAAGACACAACCAAAAACAACTCATTACATCTTCATTGAGCTGTTCAAGGAGGCTGGCAGGATCCCATCATTTCAAGCAAGCATTAATAAAAGCGGATGGAGCCTCAGCACATAATCATGGCAGCGTAAAGTAATGAGGCTACACGCTGACTTCACTATAATTGCTGTGACAAATGCCAAGCTTCCCATCCACGGTACAGCCTTGAGGGCAGCTGCAGCGAACACAGAATCTTATTGGCCAGCTAGAAACCTTTCCACTCATTCCTCGCTTTTATACTGCCATTATGAAAGGGCAGATATAAGATATAGCACAAATGACTAAAGTGAATAAATTTGGACATGTTTGTAGTATGCAGTCTCATTCTCTTACCTCCGTATGAATGGAAAATTGACAGAAGGACTGCTGGAGACATTTCTGGGACTGTCCAGCGGACTGCTGCCTGTAGAAAACACCTTCTATGATCAACATGCACATTCTGGTTGTTTTGTTTTACAGAGTTATTGGATGCCAAAGTGGCTCTGTATTGCCTGGCACTCTTTGCCAGGCTTTGTTGACAGAGTGTTACTGGCATTGGCATATTCAAACAGTGGGCTGGATGTGCAAGCATGTTATGCTACCCGGTGTTTATCATCAAGCACAGTGTAAATCAAACATCATTATCATAATTGAGAGAGAAGCAAAAATAATTATAACTACCAGCTGGCAAAGGAAGGGGTGAGAGCGGTCTTGATAGAGTAGGTGAGGGAGCCAAACTCTTCCTCTTGTTCCGATTACTGTGGAAAGAAAACTCTTATTCTTGTTAAAGGCACAAAACCCCCAACAACTCCAGTTTCACAATCCTCATTATTATGAAAGCCATCTATAGGGATGGTCTGTTAATGTGTTTAGTACTGGAACACAACCTAACAATTTGATTTTACAAAATTGATTTTACACCTGGTGTAACAGGCCTGTGTACATTTATTAGATTACAGAATAATTATGTTACAATTGGCTTTAAAGACTTTGAATTTAAAGGTAAACTCAGTAAGGTTTTGTTTAGCTGGCTCTTATTCATCCCAATAGTACCATAGTACCAGTGGTTTGGGGCTTTATACTGACATCTATTGGCCTGGATGCATTAAGGTTTTGTTTCATTCTATTTGTTCTATTGCTTTCATTTGCAGTTGAACTGAGGCATTTTGACCTTCGTGCATTCACAACACTTATTCTTGGTCAGCGTATGGAAACTGCAGATCGTCATTGATAGTTTTAAGTAGTAAACATGCTATTAGTATAAGTAGTTGCCCACTCAAATGCATAAAAAGGCTGGTCATGTGACATCAACATGGCAGCACCCATAAAGGGGCGACCCTCTCTATGCAGAATAAAACCAACCTAACAATCTGATTTTACAAAATTGATTTTACACCTGGTGTAACAGGCCTGTGTACATTTATTAGATTGCAGAATAATTATGTTACAATTGGCTTTAAAGACTTTGAATTTAAAGGTAAACTCAGTAAGGTTTTGTTTAGCTGGCTCTTATTCATCCCAATAGTACCATAGTACCAGTGGTTTGGGGCTTTATACTGACATCTATTGGCCTGGATGCATTAAGGTTTTGTTTCATTCTATTTGTTCTATTGCTTTCATTTGCAGTTGAACTGAGGCATTTTGACCTTCGTGCATTCACAACACTTATTCTTGGTCAGCGTATGGAAACTGCAGATCGTCATTGATAGTTTTAAGTAGTAAACATGCTATTAGTATAAGTAGTTGCCCACTCAAATGCATAAAAAGGCTGGTCATGTGACATCAACATGGCAGCACCCATAAAGGGGCGACCCTCTCTATGCAGAATAAAACAGCTTTTTCTACAAAACTGATAATTTTCTACAATCTCATATGTTTAATGAGATATATATACACATATATTAAAGCACTGTTTATTTCTTAATATGTAAACCTTTTTTTAATTAGCAAATATTTGCACCTTTCAACATATACATGCTTTATTTTATTACACTTTTTCTTAAAAATCATTTAATACATCCCTGCCGAAAAAAACAGCTAAAACCAGCCTAAGCTGGTTGGCTGGTTTTAGCTGGCCGTCCAGCCTTGTCTTAGGTGGTCAGCAGGCTAGTTTTAAAGGGGTTTTTGGCCACTTCTTTAGCTAAGACCAGCCAACCAGCTTAGGCTGGTTTTAGCTTGTTTTTTTTTTTAGCAGGGAATTTTGTTTGGCTTATATTAAAAAAATAATTATTATAAATAAACACTAAAAAAAAAAACTTATTTGATCTCAATGCCCTAACTTTTGACTAACGTTACAGATTAGCCTGCTATTGAGCACACTAACTATACTTTGTTGGCAAAGACTTCAAAACGAAATATAACAATGACACAGTCATCACAGACCCACCATACAGACCGTTAAGCTGTATATAAACATTATGTAAAGACTAGACAACAGAATATGCCCATCCACCGCCAACAGGACAATGAGCAGCAGACGCTCTGCCGTACATGGGCCACGTTTACTATCGGAACAAAAACGGGCTGGGTGGAAAAACAGTGTATGCTGTCCACAACGAGACCGAGAACGTTAAAGCAGATATTTTCTACCATCATAGTAACTTAGTTATATGGGATTTTCAAAGACCGATCTAGATTATCAAGCACATTTCTCGCGGTTGCGCCTGTGGGATTTTTCCAAGTTACAGCAAGTTTGGCGGACCAACCTTGACGATTAATAATCAATCACACGGAAAATATACAGTAACATGCTTAAACTCGTCGTTACCTCTTGGGTCGTTTGACTAAACCTCCTGAAACGAACTGACTTTTATAACTCGGACACACCGTCCAGTAATTCCGATCAGACATGATGTCGGTGTGCTCGTCTTCGTTGTCCCCGCAGTTAACAAATCCTCATCGATGATACACCGCAGCATTGGCACGAGTAAAAGCAGTGAAGTCTAATGTAATTCCCAGGCGAACTCCATGTCGACACAGACTCCATTGCATGCAGTACGGGGGAGTAGACAGAAAGCGCCTTAAGTACAGCAGCGTGATGCCATCATCGCGTTATTTTCTCACAAGTGACACATTGCCACATAGGTTTGGAAAATGCCATCGTCTGGTTATACTCAAGCCCTGTCACCTCCAAACGGGTGCTGCTCGCGCGCTTAAAGGTACAGCAACCCAACTGTAACGATTACAAGTTTAGGGCAACAATAAAAGAAAGGCGGGTGTGCGGAGTGGAGGAAGTTGTCACAGAGTCTGACTGAAAGAAGGGGCCATGGTGGGGTTTGAACGTCACCGTGCCGGGCAACTAAACCGCCTCCTTTAACCTAGCATGCAAAGAGTGTCCCATACTGGTAAGCGCGTGTAATATGTTGTTGAGGATAATGTCCAAACTTTCAGAAACCCTCCTCTGACGTGGCTTTAAGACTAATATTCATATGAGCGTGTGACATAGTAAATTAATTAATGCCCCAATGCTAATGAATACTGTATGGATGTAAATATTAGCCTAATATTAAATAGATTGGTAAATAATCGAATAATACCGATCGATAAAAACATTTCATATTACCAAAAAATTTGAAAATGTAAAAAATTTGGATGTTGCAGACAGATAAATAACTCATGTCCTGTTATTACAGTTTTATTCTGACAAATAATTTTTTATAATGCTTAAAACTTAAAAATACATATATTAATACATTATTAATTATAAATGCCAGAAATGTCAAGAGTATTTTATATAACTTTTTTAACTATGATATCAAATATATTAGGTATGCAAACATGAATTTAATTTGCTTTACATGCATACTTTTTAAATGAATTTAAATTTTTATTAAATTCATTAAAGACTTTTTGACTTTTTTTATATTAATGCAACATAAATACTAGAATTGTCAAAAGTGAAGGGAACGAATGAAAGTATATGAACACAAAACAACCTAAATGAAAGCTAAAAATGACAGTGACAAAATATTATATATGAGAAAGAAGCCTACTCACATATTTCCTCTTCGTGGAAGGCTCAGTTCCTTCTGGAAAGTAATAAAGACTGCGTTAATTTAAATAACTGAAGACACGTGTAACATACATAATACACTTACGGACACGAATGGCCTGAGCTATGTTTTATCAAAGCATCTACCAAGTGTGTTTTAATGGAACCACAAATATTGCATTTAATATTGCATGAAAATAAAAAGCATGAGTAAGAGGAGCCTTGGATTTCAAGAGAATCAAATAAGCTGGGGTTAATTAGGCCATGATCTTACTCACACAACAATAGTCAAATATTGAATTTTAAAGACTACACTTCTTATCTTCTTATCTTTGTGACAATGCCTTTCAATTCTTTAAAACCTACAGGAGTTCTGAACCAGAAACAAATCTTCCAGTCCACTTAAAGCTCAATACTGAGGGAGATGCAAGGTTTGTCTTATACAAGGCAAGCATTCACATTTTTCAGTTCAACACACTCAAACTAAACTGTAGTCCACATAATGTTACACAGCTAATGAAAATAGAGCAAGTTTGGCTTTGTATTTCTGGATCCAGTTTTATCACTGACTCTTGATTTAATGCTTATAAAGATTTAAGGTCCTACTTCATAATTAACATAATCAAATTATGCTATAACCTCACAAAATTCCTTGGTAGTTGCCAAGTTCCTAGCCAGTCCTGAAAACTGACGCTTTTCAATGTCTCATTTTCCCTTTTTGGCTGGAGAATCACTGTCAGTGGGCTCAGGTTTTATTCTGACAAATAATTTTTTATAATGCTTAAAACTTAAAAATACATATATTAATACATTATTAATTATAAATGCCAGAAATGTCAAGAGTATTTTATATAACTTTTTTAACTATGATATCAAATATATTAGGTATGCAAACATGAATTTACTTTGCTTTACATGCATACTTTTTAAATGAATTTAAATTTTTCAATGCAGACTTTTTGACTTTTTTTATATTAATGCAACATAAATACTAGAATTGTCAAAAGTGAAGGGAACGAATGAAAGTATATGAACACAAAACAACCTAAATGAAAGCTAAAAATGACAGTGACAAAATATTATATATGAGAAAGAAGCCTACTCACATATTTCCTCTTCGTGGAAGGCTCAGTTCCTTCTGGAAAGTAATAAAGACTGCGTTAATTTAAATAACTGAAGACACGTGTAACATACATAATACACTTACGGACACGAATGGCCTGAGCTATGTTTTATCAAAGCATCTACCAAGTGTGTTTTAATGGAACCACAAATATTGCATTTAATATTGCATGAAAATAAAAAGCATGAGTAAGAGGAGCCTTGGATTTCAAGAGAATCAAATAAGCTGGGGTTAATTAGGCCATGATCTTACTCACACAACAATAGTCAAATATTGAATTTTAAAGACTACACTTCTTATCTTCTTATCTTTGTGACAATGCCTTTCAATTCTTTAAAACCTACAGGAGTTCTGAACCAGAAACAAATCTTCCAGTCCACTTAAAGCTCAATACTGAGGGAGATGCAAGGTTTGTCTTATACAAGGCAAGCATTCACATTTTTCAGTTCAACACACTCAAACTAAACTGTAGTCCACATAATGTTACACAGCTAATGAAAATAGAGCAAGTTTGGCTTTGTATTTCTGGATCCAGTTTTATCACTGACTCTTGATTTAATGCTTATAAAGATTTAAGGTCCTACTTCATAATTAACATAATCAAATTATGCTATAACCTCACAAAATTCCTTGGTAGTTGCCAAGTTCCTAGCCAGTCCTGAAAACTGACGCTTTTCAATGTCTCATTTTCCCTTTTTGGCTGGAGAATCACTGTCAGTGGGCTCAGGCCACTGAATATTTGGAAGGACATCTGAAAGATTAATCAGAAAGTATGAGGCCAAATGAATACTTCATTAGCTGGGGGGCTGGAGTGTATTATCTTAAAACTCCTGAAGGAATGCCATATATGCATATAAAGCGTAAGTGCTTTTGTGGAGACATACTGTACATATGTCATCCCTTGCTTCTTCAGCTCCATTACAAATAATGCTCAAGCCAAAAGCAAAACCATTCCATAAAACCATTTGTGATGGGGGAATGACTATCACATTAATAAATACATGAATGAGATCCAAATGGAAACTGCTTATACCCTTCTGCTTTTGGATGTAAATTTGCCAGCCCTCAGAAGTTGTAGATGTTTGTGTCTGCTCATTTTGTTTTTTACAGGGCCAGCTTTGGCTTTTACTAGGCTGTCGTGTTCCAAGTGGACTGTCAATGTAGCGTACTTTGTCGCTTTGAATGAATGTCTTGTAGATGACCAATAACAAAGGTTGTCTTGTTTAGTCTCGACTCGTTCTGTGCCTAACCGTTCCTCAAGGATTTTTTTTTTAAAGAAATAAGCTCTTTCTGAAAGATGTGTTTTATTAAAAAGCAACAATATATCTTTATTTATTTCACAGTTCTTGGTTTTTGCTAAAGTAAAGCCCAGAAGTGCACTGAACTTAAGTTGAGCTTCATAAAAAAAAAATCCATCTCCTGTGCCATAGTCAACAGATATAATACTGGTATTACATAATGATATGTGTCAAACTCTAATAAAACTCTAAGACGTAAGTGCTATGTCATCTGACATAGGTCAAACCCCATAACCTTTGTGTCACTATGTTCTGTTTTGCACAATCACACACTTACGCACATGCAGTTGTGGATGATGCAACAGCAAGAGACAGAAATTCAGGTTTACCTCTGTGTAACAGGTAAGACCTGAATGTGTGGACAGAACATCAGACAGCCCATTTACTCATAACTTACTGCAGGGGGTGTTGTAAATGGGGTGAGCTGAAACACCGTCACTTTTACCATTTTGAAATTAACTACAGAAGTGAAATGTTGTAGATGTAGATGTTGTAATTCTCTGTGTAATGTAAAGGATTCATACATGAGGAAAGTCTCCATGTCTGGCTTCTAATGTTATTTTCACTCATTCATAATAATAATGAATGCTATTTTCGTTCATTCATGATAATGAATACAAAGTATCATGCTGACCAGACAGGGAAGGTTGCAACTGCACCCACAAAAACACAAAATTAGACATATAGACTTAGCTATAATGGGGACATCGTATAGACTTCTTGTTTTTATATTGAGCTAGTTCTAAATACTTTAACCTAACAATACTATATCCCACATAATCCTAATCCCAAAACCCAGGAATCTTTCTACACTTTCTGCAAAATAACTTTATTTATTTATTTTATACTTTTCACAAATGAGAAATTCCTTAAAATGATGTTGGGAGATTTTGTCAGGTTTAGCTTTTGACATTAATTTACACAGTTTTGGGGGGAAATTGAAGAGTCCTAAATTGTTAATTGTTCATTTGTAACAGGCAAACATTGTGTTACTATATCATAATTTTTGGACACATGGCTTAAAAAACAGAATTACATACTTAAAATGTATTTTGATTCATTCACTCATCCGCCTCCTCTACATTTTTACTGTCATTCTGGTTTTCAGACAAATATAGCACAAAACACTTTTAGTGGGGAAAAAAAGTCCATTTAGACATAGATTAATAAACACTATTTCATCGGGAGGGTAGTGCAAAAATAAGTAAAGGCAAGCCTTTCCATCATAAATCGAAACATATCAAATGCTGTAATCACCATGGCAACTGCTAATGAAACGTCTACTTCATCGAAACGCGCATAAATCAACAGCTGTTGTTTTTTTGTAATGTCGATAGTATAAAAACATATATTCAATTAATGTTATATTGCATATTTACAAAGTATATAATACAAAACCCCTTTATTTTCAACACTCCCCACGTCAAAACAAGCCATTTCCAACACTATACGTTTCTCAGTTCAATGTACGTAAACAAACGGATGCGAGAAGTGTGATATATAAGTGATTGCAAAGATGCAACGATCGCTTTACACATATATAATAAAACATACTGATACTGATGAACCACAGAATGTATGTTGTTAAATGAATAGGGATAAAGCCTATATCTTTAAAATGAATAATACTACTGTCTGTATCACTCACGCACTCTTACCTGCAGACCACGCCGCCTCAGGATATTTGGCTCATCCATTATGAATGTATTTTGTAGCTTTCCTGGTTAATTTTACCCATACTGTAAGGATGAATTTCTTTCACACATGAGATCTCTAACCCTGTTTCCTAGTCACCCAATCCATCCCTGATACAGCGAGCACA